GAAGAAGTCCGTCATCGTTGATTGATTTGAAGTGAGGTCGATCAAGCCGGTCAAAGTTTCTTCATTCATGATGTCTCTGCACTCGTATTCATCGGGCTCTTACAAGCAAGCACTGGCAGTCTCTAGAGAAGAAGAGACTCGTGCAGAAGGAGGAAGGGCAAAAGGTGGGGAAGAAGGTAGAAGCGCAAGACCTAACGCAAGATTCCATATAAGGTTCGTCAAGAGTCACCGGAGTAGTTCGTAAGATTCCATATAAGGTTCTTTAAGGGTCAGCGGAACAGTCGCAACAGAAGAAATGGTGCAAGTCTCAAAGCAAGATGCCACACAGAATTCATCAAGAGACTGCTCCGGATGCCACACAGAATTCGTCAAGGGTCACCGTAGCAATCTCATTAAGAGAAATGGTGCAAGACTCGACACAAGATGCCACACAGAATTCATCACAGAATGCCACACAGAATTCATCACAGAATCTGACACGGAATTCATCAAGAGACTGCTCTAGATGCCATACAGAGCTCAGTAGGAGTCAGCGTAGCAATCTCATTAAGAGAAATGGTGCAAGACTCAACACAAAATGCCACACAGAATTCATCAAGAGTCAGCAGAGCAGTCTCAACAGGAGAAATGGTACACTTGACATCAACAATTGTCTTTCTTCTGCCCTCTTTTTCCACGCTCCCACTTCACGCTTTTGACTGTATCTCCTAGTGACATCCGTTCAACTTTGCCGAAGAAGTTCATCTTTAAATCTTGGGTTTAAGTGAGATCGATCAAGTCGGGCAAAATTCTCTTCATTCGAGGATGACTCTTCACTCGCATTCACGGGACTCTTGCAAGCGATCACTGGCAGTCGAAGAAACATCGGTCTTAAGCGCAGACCTCTTCGGATATCAGAACAAATGCACTTTATCAAAGAAGCGTCCATCCTATACGACTCGTTAACGAGACGAGAGCAAGATGAGCCAGAACTTTTCGTTTCGCAATTCTCTAAATACCCTCCTCTAAACACTTAGAGGGTGATGATGGAGGAGTGAGGAGAGGGTGATGATTGCAAGATAGGAAGAGGATGATACTCACGGAGTAAGGAGAGGATGATGACGGTGAAATGAGGAGAGGATGATGACGGTGAAATGAGGAGAGGATGATGACGGCGGAGTAAGAAGTGACTGTTGGCGGGCTCTTCTCATCCGCATTCAAAAGGCGCCTCTCATTTAACCAGTATCATTCTCTTCTCGTTCAAGATCCACTTCACATTCAACCAGGATCACATATTTCCGCTCTCTCGTTATCACACAGCATTGATTAAAGCAATAAAATGCAAACGTTATCCCTATCGTTTCACAAGAAGAGGTCACGAGTAGAAACGCCCAAATTCAGCGAAATGAACCAAGATCTTCCTCTTTAGACCGGATAAAACCTTTCAAAGTTTATGCAAAGTCATCTCGTATATCGCTCAAGATCGGATTATGACGTGGCAATCGAATAAGTGGCATAAGAGAAGAAATGGTACACTACACTTGACGTCAGCATTTGTCTTTCCTTTGCCCTCCTTTTCATGCTTTCAGCTTACACTCTTTAGCTTGACATCTGTTCAACATTACCGAAGAAGTCCATCACTGGTTGATTCGGTCAAAGTTTCTTCATTCATAATGAATCTGTACTCG